GCAAATCTGCTGCAAAAGACCTCTTTAAAGTGTTAAAAAGCAAAGATGTCACTTTGAGGACTAAGGTGCACCTGACCCAAGCCATGGTATTTTCAGTCGCCTCATATGTATGCTAAAACTGGACAATGAAAAAGGGAGACCAAAGAAGAATTGATGCATTTGAATCATGGTGTTGGCGAAGAATGTTCAATATGCCAGAAGAATGTTGGACGTGCCAGAAGAACGAGCAAATCTCTTTCAGAACAGCCAGAATGTTCCTTAAAAGTAAGGATGGTAAAACTTCATCTCACGTACTTTGGACATGTTATGAGGAGGGACTAGTACCAGAGAAGGACATCCTGCTTGGTAAAGTAGAGAGTCAGAGAAAAAGAAGACCCTCAGTGAAATGGATTGACACAGTGGCTGCAACAATGGGCTCAAGCATACCAATGATTGTGAGCATGGTGCAGTGTTTCGTTCTGTTGTACGTAGGGTCGCTACGAGTCACAACCTGTATGACCACATCTAACAACAACAACAACTAACCTAAAGGTTGGCAGTTCGAAGCCATCCAGTTCCGCCTTGGAAGAAAGGCCTGGTGAATCTGCTTCAGTAAAGATTATAGTCAAGAAAACCTTACACAGTGAGTTGTCAGGAGTTGGAATCGACTTAACGGCAATGAGTATATCTATAGATTACCTAAGTAACTGAATTTCTTGTTCTGGCAAATACGGACAGTACTCTTGACCTTGCACTTTGTTAGATGAGGCTATTAAATGTACCCCTACTTTTCAGTTTCCTCTCCAGCCTCTGGCTTCAATCTTCCTTGAGTTTCCTTTTAAAATGTCAGTGCCGATAACATTTACTTTCTATTTGTAACCATATTAAGCCTTTTGAGGGCTTTCTCTGAAGGTTGACTCTAAAATTTGAAGATTAGCAAACCGTATTTTCATTATTGGGCAGTGTAGCTATTGTTGACTGCAAAACCGGGAGGGTACCATGATTCCAGCTCCTTTCTTGTTACGGTTTTTCTGTTTTCTTGGAGCTTCTAGTTATCTTTTTCTCCTTGAACTTGCCTGATCATGACTTATTTTTTTATTGTTGTAAAAATATATAAAACACAAAATTTACCAATTTAACATTTTTCACATGTACAATTTAATGACATGAATTATATTCATCATCTTGGGTAATCATCACCAATATGTCAAATTTCTGTCACCATGAATAGAAGCTTGCTGCTTTTTCTCTCTGGAATCTTTTCAGATCATGACAATTCTGAAGCATCCCAGTGGTGTGCTTCGGGATAGATACCCAGTGGGACCTCTCAATCTGGAGCTTATGTCCAACTTTTGAAGTTTCTCTTGAATTTCTTCATATTTCCTCCTCTTTGTTTTTCCATGTTTTCTCTTTCTAGAACATCTAAAAGTTGTATACGGAAACTTCTAAATTGCTCCTCTAGCACTCATATCTTCTTATCTCATCTTTTCTTTCTCTTCGCCCTTCGCTTCTACCTTCTGGGAAAAAGACTTGACTTTACATTCTGGCCCTTTTTATGAACTTTTCTTCCCCCAAGGGCTTTTCTTTGTTCTCAGAGTAGTCTATTCTTATTTTAAGAATGTAATGTTTTCTTGAATATCTCTGAGGAGACCAAGTAGAATTTTTTTATGAGTTAGTTCTGTTTTGTTCCTACAGTTGTTTTTCTCTGTGGTGATTTTATCCAGTGGTTTATCTTGGTCTGTCTTCTTCAGGTTGACCAGGTGATCCTTGGTCGTCTATCAGTATTTAACATTAAAACAATAAAAAACTGAAAGGAGTTCTGTGTCTGAGAGCAGGGGAGTCGTCGGGCAGGCATTGCTTGAAAGAAGTTGCTCAAGTTTTGCTGGCCCTTTTGCTTCTAGAATGCTTGGATGTTTTCACGGGGAGTGATTATTATTTTTTAAGAGAGGAACAAACTCTGATTCCATCCCTCCTCCAGCTCCTGCTGCACATTTAATATTTGATTGACTGCTGTCGGGGTGGACTTGATATTCTGGATACAGATGCTTGAGTTCTGGATACAGACTCACAATTGATTCTCATTTCAGCACCATGCCCCCTCTCCCCTCTTCGCTGAGTTTTCCAGGCAGACGACCAAGGGGGCTGTGCCATCCTCTGCTTGTGTTACCTCCTCCCCTCCCTTTTTCCATAACCCTGTCACACTCTGTCTTCCACTGAGACCCACCCTCCCCATCATTCTGTTCATCTGGTTGCTTTATGCCTTTTTTTTATTCCCTTTCTGGAATTTTAGTGGCATCTTGGGAGAAAAGAGATCAGTGTCTGGGGTCAGCCCTTCACCTTTAAAATAAAGATGATCTCTGCAAAGCGGTTTATAAACTGCTTTAACACATATTATCTCATTTGATCTCTCTGACAACATTTGAGATTGTCAGGGCAGACATTATTATACCCATCTTACAGATAAAGCAGCTGAGTCTCTGAGAGATTAAGTGACTTGTGTGAGGTAGCCTTGCAGCTTGGGGACGGAGCCAGGATTCGAAGCTCCATGTCCAGGCCCTGACCTCGGTCCAGCAGGTGACAGGGTACTGGAGGCACAGAGAATGGGCCCATACTTTGGTAACCATTGAGTCTGTGGGACCCTGACCTGGAGTATTGCCAGGGCCGTGTTTCTGGGAGGCATTTGAGGCAGATACCATGTAGTCAGAGGACCCCAGAGAGCAGAGCTGAATGAGCCTAGGCTGGCCTAAGGGAGAGCCGTCTCCCCCACGACACTTCTCAGAAGTGCCAGCTTTCCTTGCTGAGGGTCTGGAGCCCAATAGGAGGCAGCTCAATGAGGGGGCATGTCCTGATACCCTCCCCCAGAGGAGCACTGGGTGCTGGCCTTGCTGAGGGCGCCCCTGATCTTTCTTGACCTCATGATCCCTGCCAGACTAGGCCCTCATTGGAACCCTCAGAGGCTGAGAGAATTCTGGGCATTTCTATAGAACAGGAGAATCACCCTCAGAACCAAAGCACAAGTGAAAGCAGGAAGCAATTGGGTAGGACCCAAGGAAGAATCTCTTGACCAAAATGGGGTAGAAGTAACCAAAAATAGGGGATGAGTAACAGAGACACTGAAGCATGTGTGGGGGAGAGGGGTAGGGAACATGGCATGTGGCCCTAGGGCTTAGGCGCTGTCTGAAAAAGAGAAGAGAAACTGACGAGAAGGGAGAGTAGCGACCGTTTGCAGTTAATGTGTATAAGGAGCTCATATTGGTCAGCTAGTGTTCAGGGGAATTTGTATCTTTGCTTTGGTTCATTCATTCATTCAACAAATATTTATCTTGCTGTGTGCTATTCTAGCAGCTAGGGGTGCAATATGAAACAATTATAAACCCATTGCCACAGAGTCGATTACTACTCATAGTGACCCTGTGTGTAATTATAAATATGTCAATATAAATTTATAATTTAAAAACTAATTTTTTTTTTTTTGCTGGTTCCAGTCAAAGGGAGACCTCTACCTGAGTTAGACATTCTTTTTGCTGAGAGTGTTTTAGGCTGACAGAGTGCTGAGATATCTAAAAACCGACTAGGAGAAAGCTTGTGCATGGTTGTCCAGGGAAAAGGGGCACGTCTCAAATTTCTCATCTCTTCGTTTCCGCTGTTAGGAAATTGTGATCTACCCTAGAAGGAAAGAAGAGAAGGGCATGTCCTCGTCATGAGTCCTACCGTGTGTTGAGCACAGTGCTGATGTTTTACAGACACTCTCTCACAAGGGCCTGCTAGATCTTCCTCCCTTCCTAGATAGACATTCCCAGGGAAGCATGCAGACCTTGGGGGTGAGATCATGGGGAGGGACCAGCCCAGGAGTTGACATATGGGTGAGCAGGAAGGGCGCATTTCTGGAAATGATGATGCTTTGTCCAGCTCAGCTCTCTCATGCCCTCTTCTATCTCCACTCCTGAAGGGTGAAGCAGTCGGAGCTGTTCGACAGGTGGAGGAGCCTCCAGATGTGCAAGTGGGCAATGAACATCTCTGAAGCCAACCAGTTCAAGTATCTATAAGTCACCTGTCCTTCCCAGCTGTGGTGCTCCTCACTCCCACCTCTGCAGACCTCCCTCATCCTCTAAGGCCAGCTCTTAGCGGGCATCTTCCGCAGAGATGGCCTGGCTGGGCTTTGGAATCTGAATTGTGGGGAGGCTCTGCCTCTACACATTGGGTGAGGTGGGCGCCTGGCCAGGTGCTCACCTCCACATTCTCTCCCTTAGGCCTTGCAGCAGCTCTGCCCAGTTGATGGCATCACCCCAGTATACAGTGCAGGTTAAGGAGGCCCATAGCAGTGAAGTGATTTGCTCAAGGGCTCCCAGAGGCCTCTGCAGTAAGCAGTCCTCCAGAGCATCACCGCCCTGGCCTCCCCCTCTGGGGCAGCAGTTCTAATGCAGCCAGCCTCACTCCTGCTCTGAACTCCTTAGCTCTCACAGCCCACACCAGACGTTCAAGCACTGCTGCAGATTATCTTCTGATTGCTCTCTAACCGGAATTGACAGAGGCAACCCCTGAGTTCTCCTGTCTTTGAGCTAAGCAGACAGCAGACGTCCAACAATTCTTTTTGATTAATGGTGAACTTTAGGGTCCTCCATCGCTACCATTCAGTGAGTTTAGGGTATTATTTTAGTGCGTGAAATTTTATTTCAAGGAATGGATGTGATCCTGGAAATTTGTGTATCAACTGGGTTCTGGCAACCCTGTGCCTAGTTTATCCTGCATGGGGGAGGTTATGGAAAGTGAATATCACTAAGTAGTTTGAATTTCCTTTATAAATCATTGGTTCCAGTTTGCTTCAATTCCAGGCCACCTCTAGAGAGAAATTAATAGTTGTTGTCGTTGTTTTTTTTAAGCTGCAATATATACAAGCAAATGTATAGCTATTCACAGTTTTCGTGTACAATTCAATGACACGGGTTACATACTTCACATTGTGTCATCATTTTCTCTATTAGAGAGAAAGTAGTCATTTTAAGGGGCACGTTTTGAGAAATGAGAATGTTTAGAGTGATATCTGCTAAAGAGGGGATACTAGAGGTATCTGTGAGGCTGTGGAAACCTAGCCAAGGCCCAACTGTAGTTTGTAGGGACCCACCTGTTACAAAAGTAGAGTGTAAACTTGAGTGAAGTGCTGGAGGAGTGGGGAGCAGGTTCCAGATTGATGCAGGTGCAACCCGAAATCCACCGTCTTCGAAGTGTTTCTGTGTGGACTGGGGCTGGATAAGGCTTGTGGGCACTGAGGGTGTGGCTGAGAAGACACTCGTCTCGGCTGAGGTCAGTGAGGGTGTTGTCCAGGCTGAGCACATCTAAAGAAATAACACAGCAACAGAAGAACGATGCCGCAAGAGAAGGGGGGGGGTCAACGCGAGGGCCTCGGGCAGAGAGCTGACAGCACTATTCTGTCCTCTGGGCCAGGGTGGAGGGTTGTGGTTCTCCAGGGGCAGGGGAGCAAGATGGGCCCAGGATCCGCCCTCATCACTGAGCCTCGTGGGCATGCCTTGGAGAATGTGTGCTGAGTGGAACACCAGCTGCAGAGAAGAGAAAATCAGACTTGTCTGGCCAGCTGACTCCCAAGCCTGCTTTGTCAACCACATTCTCCCTGGGAGCCTGTTTTTAAAGCCTGCTTACATCTGAGCATTAACACTTCTGTAGCTCATGTTTGAGTGTGTTTTTGTGAGTGGAAAAAACCCAGCTCACTGCCATCGAGTCAATTCCAACTCCTAGAGACCCTATAGGACAGAGTAGAAGTGCCCCATAGGCTTTCCAAGGCTGTAAATCTTTATGGAAGCAGACTGCCACATCTTTCTCCCTTGGAGCAGCTGGTGGGTTCAAACCGCCGACCTTTTGGTTAGCAGCTGAATGCTTTAACCACTGCGCCACCAGGGCTTCTTTTTGTGAGTGAAAACTGCCGGGAATTTAAAAAACAAAAAAACTCTTTTGTTTCTTTTTTCTCTCTCTGTTTTTTTTTTTTTTTACTACTAAGTATTGTGCACTGTCTTACCCTTCACCAAAGTCACCACTCATCCATTGTCTATTTAGTGAAAAACAAAAAAACTCTTAAGTACTTCTTTTAAAGATCCCTAGGTGGCGCAGACAGTTTGTGCTTGACTGTTAACCTAAAGGTTGGAGGTCCAAACCCACCCAGCAGTACTGCGGAAGAAAGGCCTGATGATCTGCTTCTGTTAAGATTACAGCCAAAAAAACTCTATGGAGCAGTTCTACTCTAACACACGAGGTCGCCATGAGTTGGAATTGACTCAACGGCAGCTAACAAGTACTTCTTTTAGAAGCCGCAGTCCATTTTCTGCAGGAAGTTGTCCAGTATCAACCCCCCATCCCCATTCCTGGCCCTCCCCTATTCCTAAAATAGTTTCAAAATGCTTGAGACGGCACATTCTGTTGACTCTGTGTGTTTTTGTTTGTGCCTCGTGGGACGGTAAGCACCTTGTCTAGAGTCTGCTGTGGGGAGCAGGAAGCTAAGGACAGGTTCTGCTCCACTTGGTTTTCAGTGAGGACTGGATGATTGCCCCAGAAACAGCATTTGTGGGAAGTAGTATGATGCTTAGTAGATCTTGAGGAAGCCTGAGTGAGGAGTGATTAGCCCTATGTGTTGAACTGTGTGTTGAACCCTTGTATGACTAGCGTTGTGCAGGACACAGAGGTCATGGTCCCCACTATCAAGGGGCTTTCACTCCAACTGGGGAAGGATTTGGCAGATGGAAAAGTGTGTGGTACACGGTCTGTGCTCTGCACCTTCAGTGGGAGTGTGGTCAGTGGGGCGGAAGCAGCTGGGAGCTTCACGGGAGGGACACCAGGCCTGGGCACTGAATGAGCAGCGTCAGGAGACATGGGAGGAGTACTGAAAGGGGTGGGAACAGCACGTGCAAAGGTGTGGAGGAGGGAATGGATTTGGGAATGGCAGGCGCGAGAGGACCGGGCAGAGACCTAGTGTTAGTCGGAGCTCCCTGGTAAACCCGCGGCACCTCAGTTCATGGCCCTTCTCTTCTTCGCGTGGTTTTGCTCTGCCCCACATCACCAGTCTCTCCCATGTGTCTCCCTACCCGGCAGGTCCACTTTGTCCAGGTGCTGCAATGCCCCCTCCTTCCTCTTCACCACCCAGAAGAACACTCCCCTAGGGACAAAGCTCAAGTATGAGGTGGACACCAGCGGCATCTACCACATCAACCAGGAGATCTTCCGCATGTTCCCCAAGGTGCTGCTTCCACTGTCCGGGGGAAAGGGTGGCCTGGGGTGGGGGCGATGGAGCAGTGCCTTGTGCTGGTGCACCCCTCAGTCTCTGCCCTATAAGCCCAGTCGTCTTGGTCCTGGTTGGTCACTCTCTAGGTCTAGTAGACCACCTTCTGGGTTTCCTTGGGGGCCCCTCTGAGGATACTGAGTGCCAGCTGGCTTTTATTTGAGTGACTTTTGGCAAGAAAGTGGTTATAACATTCTGGTTATTGCATTGCTTGCAGAAGACATCTGGCAGATACCTGAGAGAATGATTCAGCATTTGTCCTCTTACCTCAGGCATGTGTCCCTGAGATGGCACGAGAATCAAAGCATATATGCAAAGGTTGTGTGCACAGGAAATCATAAACCAATACAAATCAGTGCACAGAAAGGTGGCTCTCACATTGGGTGACCTCGTGTGGTCATTTTGTCTTTCAGGGCCTCAGTCTCTTTGTCTGTAACATTGGGGTTGGACTAATTTGGCTGCTTGTAACAGAAAACCTAAAATATCAGAGACTTAAGCAAGATAAAAATGTATTTTTTCCCTTGTACATAAAAGAAGTCTGGAGATAGCTGTTCAGGGCAGCATGGTGGCTCTCTGGTCATGGAGGACCACAGATCGAGTGGTTCACATACGTAAACTGTCCAGATAGCAGAAATTCAGGTGCCTGCACTCACTTCTGGATTGACTGTGGTCCAGACTCGCTGCATCAGTCTCTCAGTGGCACGGGCCCTGGAACTTGTATTTTCATCTGATCCTGATGGTTACCCGTGTCTGGGAAGTGGCAGTGTAGCCCCTGAAGAGGAGGAAGAACGGTTCCATGGGAAGTATTCATAGCCGCCTTCTAAAGTGCTCTGGGCCCAGGGCAGAACTTAGTGGGTCAGCTTGTAGAAATGTGGAATAGGAGTGTATTCAGGTCTTTGTGGATGAAATCTGAGGCTTAGCTGACCTGCTCCTCTGGGGAGTGCTAACAAAGCAAAGTTCAGCATGGCTTACTGCATTTTGCTACTCATACCAGGGTGCACTGGTAAGACTGGGGGTATGGAGGAGGCACTGAAGGTGGAGCGATAGCAACCATGTTTTCCCACATCGTCAGTGATGGAGGATGATGGGTGTGAGCTCTCTTTACAAATTTGGGTCTTGCAAGGCCCAGAACATGAGGCTGGTGACAGCAGAAGAACTTACATCTCATGTGGGCAATGCCAGTGGGTCAAACACAGCCAGGTTATGACATAGGGGTCCAAAGGGCCACAGGCATGGACTCCCGAGGCCCCCTGAATTAGAGCAAGGGTCGCTAACCTTCTTTTCTGGAAAAGGCCAGATAGTATGTTAAGCCTTGCAGGGCATATTATCTGTGTGGCAGCTGCTCAGGTCTGCCATTTCAGCACAAAAGCAGCCTTTGACAGTATGTAAATGAATGGGCGTGGCTGTCTTCCAGGAAAAGTTTCGTTTTTATTAAACACTGAAATTTGGATTTTTATATAATTTTCAAATGTCACGAAATGTCTTTCTTTTTGATCATTTAAGAATGTAAAAACCCTTCTTAGCTTTCAGGCCATACAAAAACAGGCGGTGGGCCAGACTTGGCCCGCAGGCAGTAGTATGCCGAGCCCGGCGTTAGAGCATTGCAGCGTAGAATAGCATTTCCCAAACGTCCCAAAGGATAGGCATTTCTTTGGGTTTGTGGAAAAAACACAACGTCCCCGCCTCCTATTCCCACCCTGGAAATTGTGATTCTGAGGTTTTGGGATAAGGCCCTGGAATTTGCATTTTAAGTAGTTCTTGACTTACGGAAGTTTGGAAAACACTGAATAGAACTTAATAAGCCTTCGGTGATTTCGTCAAAGATGACTGTTTTTTTTCCTTTCTCTGGTCAAAGTCGAACAGTGCAGCTTCCCCACCAGCCCTTGTTAGATGCCCTTGTTCCCTGTCCTGGTCCCTGGGCCCGTCCCTCCAGGGGAAATGAGCCGTGAATAAGGACACAGGTAGATGCAGCTTCTCCTTAGGATTTAGCGTAATTCACTGCACTGAGATTCTCCACGAGACCCGGTCCCAGCAGCTGGTCCCACTGGAGGCTCGAGGTGCTGACCGTGCCCCTCTCAGGTGGTGGCTGGCCAGCTGGGGCATGTCGGAGGAAAGCTGCTGGCAGGCTCCTGGGTGTCAGAGCTGGAAGGGACCTTAGGGGCATGTAATACTAACAACCTAGTCCACTTTGCTGAGTTGCCTCTGGGCCAAGCACTGCATAGGGTAGACTCTTGGTTTATACCAGAGTTTCTCAACTGAGAACATTTGTACCCCAGGGGACACCTGGCAATGTCTGCAGACATTTTTGATTGTCATGACTTGGTAGGGGTGCTACTGGCATCTAGAGGGTAGAGGCCAGGGATGCTGCTAAACATCTACAATGCATACTTCCGCACCCTCGACAGCAAAAAATTATCTGGTCCAAAATGTCAATGGTGCTGAAGTTAAGAAACCCTGCTTTACCTAATCTCATTGGATTCGCTTGAGATACACGTATTATTATCCTCATTTTACAGATGGAAACCCCAAGTCTCTGAGAGCTCAAACAGCTTGTCCGTGGTTTCCTTGACTTAGTATGGGGCAAAATCAGGACTAAACTTGAGTCTTTTGGCTAGGGTGCCTGACTCATCCAGGTTTTCCTAGGACTTTCCCAGTGTTAGCACTGAAAGTCCTGCATTCCAGGAGCCCCTCACCCTGGGCAGACCAGGACGGCTGGTTACCCCCTACCTTGACTCCAGGCCTGTGTTCCTCCCTGAACCATGTGGCTGCCTTGTTCTACTTGCCTCAGGTTGCCACTGTGGTCTGGAGGGGGCATGGCAGAACCAGGCCTTCTTATGCTCAGGCTGGTACTTTCTCCTGCCAACTCACCTGGAAAGCATGCTCAGGGAGCAACCAGTGCCCAGACCAAGGTAACCCTGCCAGTCGAGATGTGAGAAGGTCAGAGCACTATGTGAGAGTCACTCCCAGTGCTCCTGTGAATGCCTCCATCACTCAGACTAACACCTGGTCCTCCCCACCCTCAGAGCTCTCACCTCAGAGACCCCAGGTGTCCCAGCTTCTCACCGCTCCCCTCTGACATGGTAGCCTTGCCTGCTCACTCCCTGGTCTCTTGCCCCTGCTGCTGCCAAGTCCTAGCATCTGTCACACCTGTGTGACTTTTCTGCCCTGGGCCTGGGTCCTCCCCATGGATCAGAGAGAGGGTCTGCACCTAGTCCTGAGCTGAAAGGGGTGAGGAGCAGGTTTAAGGCCCCTGTCTCTCGGTAGTCTGCTGCTGTTGCCTCCCAGGACATCTGCATTAACCATTAAAAAATGCATACTCAAAGGCATAAGAGAGCTGAGCCTCTTTCAAACACTGGGAAAACCGAAGGCTTTAGTATCAAGCGGGGATGTCCATAACCTGTCTTCTCTTCTTTCTGAAAACCTGAGGCTCCCAGGGCTTATTGAAAGAGGCGTTGGAGACCTAGGCTCCAGTTACAGCTCATTCGCTCATCACCTGAGTAACTGACCACTCTTCTTATCTGGAAAATGGAAGAACTGTTCCGCTCCCACATTCCCTAGAAGGCTGTCCTGTGAGGCCCTGAGCCAGGATGAGAGGGGCACGTGGTACAGAGGGTGAGCACCGGATGAAGGCAGGCTGGGCTGACAGCTGTGCCGGTGTCTGTCACCCCCAGGACATGCCTTACTACCGGTCCCAGTTTAAGAAGTGTGCAGTGGTGGGCAACGGAGGCATCCTAAAGAACAGCCGCTGCGGCAGGGAGATCAACAGTGCTGACTTCGTGTTCCGGTAAAAGGGTCACCCTGGGTCTGCACCTTCCAGTTCTACCCCGGGCCCTCTTTCTGCTCTGTGCCCTTCCCACTTCTGGGTAAATCACCTAACCATCTGTGCCTCTGTTTCCTGAAATGGAAGATAAGGATGATGACAGTATCCATCCCTCGGGGTTGCTATGAGGATTAAATGCAGAAGTTAATAAGGTGGCTGCTGTTGGGTGCCACCGAGTTGATTTTCATCCCATAGTGACCCCGTGTAACAGAGTAGAATTGCCCCGTAAAGTTTCCTAGGCGGTAATCTTTATGGAAGCAGATTGCCAGGTCTCTCTCCCGAACAGCTGCTGGGTGAGTTCCAACCACCAACCTTTCAGTTAGCAGCCGAGTGCCTAAACATTTTGCCACCAGGGCTATACCATGTTACCTGTCTGACTCTATAAATATAATGGTAAACTTTCCCCCTAAAAGGATGGCCTCTTGTCCCACCCCCTAAGATATGTTATAGTCCGCAGTTGTTTGCACATAGTTTTGGAGGTGACAGGGGCCCTTTCTTCATATATTGTCATCAACAGCAGCGCAGCAGTGGTAGCAAAGCCTTACTGGGTGCCTGCTATGTGTACACCAAAGCTTGCTGAGTCTTCACCACGTTCCAGGCATTGTCATACTGGATGGCATTGTATCGGGAAGGAGCGCTGATGGAGACAGACAAGCCTGGCCTGCACCTGCCTCTACCACCTAATAGCAGCAAGTCCCTTGACCTCTCTAAACGTCTGATTTCTCATTTGCAACCCAGGGATCCTAATATTTACCACCTGCCATAGTGGTTAAGAGCTTGGCTGCTAACCAGAAGATCGGCAGTTCAAATCTACCAGTCGCTCCTTGGAAACCCTAGGGAGCAGTTCTACTCTGTCCTGTAGGGGTGCTATGAGTCAGAATGGACTCGATGGCAACGGGTTTGGGTTTTTTTTTAAGGTTGTTGAGGGCAACCAAAAAGTCAGCAGTTTGAACCCACCAGCTACTCTGCGGGAGAAAAGACTGGTGATTTGCTCCTGTAAAGATTTCGGCCTGGGAAGCCATATGGGGCAGTTCAACTCTGTCCTATAGGGTCCCTATGAGTCAGAATTGACTCAGCGGCACACAACAACAACAAAGGTTATTGAAAGGAGTCCTGGTGGTGCAATGGTTAAGCACTTGGCTGCTAACCAAAAGGTTGATGGTTCAAATCCACCCAGGGGCTCTGTGGGAGAAAGACTTGGAGATCTGCTCCCTAAAGGTTACAGCCTAGAAAATCCTATAGGGCACTTCTGTTCTGTCACATGGGGTTGCTGTGAGTCAAAAACGACACCCAGCAACAACAACAACAAAGTTTGTTGATGTCTTGTATAATCCTATGAAATTTCCTGGCATGTCATAGATGTTTGATAAATGGTAGTTGGCTGCAGACTCACCCCTTGTCTTTAAGAGGAGTATAAGCCCTGCCTTCCCTGATGGTTTGACAGGGGTGGGTTGGATTATGAGACAGGTGATGGTCCTGGCCCTGTTAGAAAAGGCCATGTAGAAACTCATGGCTTCTCCTTGAACAAAGAGTTCCGTTAAACCCATAGCTGCCCCTTGAGTGAAGGACCAGATTCTTTTTTTTTCTTTATTTTTATTTTATTGTACTTTAGATGAAGGTTTACAGAACAAACTAGCCTTTCATTAAACAGTTAGTACACATATTGTTTTATAACATTGGTTAACAACCCCATGACATGTCAATACCCTCCCTTCTCGACCTTGGGTTCCCTATTACCAGCTTTCCTGTCCCCTCCTGCCTTCTAGTCCTTGCCCCTGGGCTGGTGTGTCCCTTTAGTCTCATTTTGTCCTACGGGCCTATCTATGGCTAAATGGTGAACCTCAGGAGTGACTTCATTACTGAGCTAAAAGGGGGCCATACTCTCAGGGTTTCTCCAGTCTCTGTCAGGCCAGTAATTCTGGTCTTTTTTTTTTAGTTAGAATTTTGTTCTACATTTTTCTCCAGCTCTGTCTGGGACCCTCTATTGTGATCCCTGTCAAAGCAGTCAGTGGTGGTAGCCAGGCACCATGTAGTTATACTGGACTCAGTCTGGTGGAGGCTGTGGTAGTTGTGGTCTGTTAGTCCTTTGGACTAATCTTACCCTTGTGTCTTTAGTTTTCTTCATTTTCCCTTGCTCCTGAGGTGGTGAGACCAGAGGAGTATCTCAGATGGCCGCTTACAGGCTTTTAAGACCCCAGATGCTACTCACCAAAGTAGAATGTAGACCATTTTCTTCACAAACTATGTTATGCCAGTTGAGCTAGATGTTCCCTGAGACCATGGAAGGACCAGATTCTTAACATGGCAACAAGCCCCTCATGGTCTGGCCCCTTCCTCCCTCTCTGACTTCAGCTTGAACCACTCTTTCCTCATTTTGTGCTCCAGCCCCAAGGCTTCAGTCACTCATTCCCTGAATGCTTCATGCTTCCTCCCTTTGCACAGATGCTCATGACCTCCACATTTGCCCAGTTAACATCTGCTCATTTTCAAAACTTACTAGTTTTTCATTTACTATGCAGTATTTGATGCATACGAAGAGTATCTGTACCACATAAGTATGAAGCGAAGTAATCAAATGAGTACTGTGAACCAACTACTTATCTTAAGACCCCAAGTGTTCTCAAAGCCATTAATCGATCTGTATGCTCCTTCCCCATCCCACCTCTGCCTTGCCCAGAGGTAATCACCACTCTGAATTTTTTATTTATCACTCGCTCATTAAAAATGGTTTTATCACATGTAGATATATCCCTAAACGATTTATTGTCTAATATTGCTTATTTAGGGGCTGTCTTAGGCTGGGTTTTCTAGAGAAGCAAAACCAGTAAAGTGTATATATATATATATAGAGAGAGAGAGAGATCTATATCAATGAAACAGCTCATGCGACTGTAGAGGCTAGAACATCCCAAGTCTGTGGATCAGAGTAGAGACCTCTCCCAAGTCACGCAGCTGCAGAAGCTGGCAAGCCCAAGATCGGCAGGTCGGAGAGCAGGGTCCCGCTCACGGGCTGTGCAGATTGACGAATCCCAACTTCGGCAGATAAGCTGACAGCTCAAGTCCCAAGAACTGGAGATGAGACAACAGGAGGCAGCTGCAGGATCCAGAGAGAGCAAAAAGCCAGAACATCTGCTTATATTCAGATGCGGGCCACACCCCCACGGAGACTCCCTTTCATCTGATTGGCTACTCACAGTATATTCAATCATGGGAGTGATTACATTGAAACACTGAGAATCATGACCCAGCCAAGTTGGCACACAATCCCAACCATCACAGGGGCTGTATCAGTTTCCCATTGCTGCTAATAACAAATGACCTCAGACGCAGTGGTTTAAAAAAACAGAAATTTGTTATCTTACAGTTCTGGAGGTCAGAAGTCTCACTGGGCTAAAATCAAGGTGTCAACAGAGTTCTGTTCCTTTCTGGAGGCTCTATGGAAGAATCCATTTCCTTGCCTCTTCTGGCCCACATTCCTTGGCTTGTGGCCTCTTTAAAGCAAGCAGTGTAGCATCTTCCAGTTTCTCTCTCTGACTCTGCTTCCATTGTCACATCTTTTCCTCTCTCTCCTATTACATCACCTTCTCTTATAAGGTCCCTTGTGATTACTCAGATACTACAGGATAATTTCCTCATCTCAAAATCCTTAATTTAATCACAGCTGCAAAATCCCTTTTGCCATGTAAGGTAACATATTTACAGGTTCTGGGGATTAGGGTGTGGACATCTTTGGTGGACCATTATTCCTGCACGAGACCTTTTAAAAATGGTGTGCTGTATGTATATTTCTGCAACTTGCTTTTTTCACTCAATATTGCATTTCTAAGCTTCATCCTTGAATAGATCCCATATTTATTTAGCTCCTCTCCTGTCAATGTACTTTTTTTTTTCGGTGAAAATACAGCAAAACCCACTCCCATTCCACAGTTTATAGCCATAATGATCAGTGACATTGGTTGCACTCTTCACATTGTGTCAACATTCTCGTTATTTCGGTTCTAGTTGTTTCACTTAGGTTTACTTAATCTCCCTGCCCCCTAACCTTCTCATCTATGCTTTAAAATAGCTGTTGACTCTTTGGTCTTATATAGATACATATTTTTTAAAACACAGTACTCAAGGATTACAATGTTTACTCTTTGGGCTAAACTATTAGTTAGTTTAAAGATGACTTCAGGGGATAGTTTCAATTCAAGGTTTGAAGAGCAACTCAGGGCCATAGTCTCAGGGACTCCTCTAGCCTCAATAGGTCCAGTAAGTCTGGTTTCTTTAAGAATTTGAAGCTCTGTTCCACATTTTTCCCCCTTTTTATCAGGATTCATCTATTGTGTTCCTGATCAGAATGTACAGTAGTGGTAGTTGGGCACCGTTTAGTTCTGGGCTCGAGGTGGAGGAGGCAGTGGTTCATGTAGTGCCAATGGACTTTGCTCACTTCCTCCTTTAAACCTCAGCTCAGCTGTCACTTCCTCTGGGAAGCCTCTTGACTCTACACAAGCGGAGGTTCCTCTGCCCTTTCAGAGCACAATCCTGTGCTCAAAAGCATGTACTGTGTATTATATCTATATATTATAGATGGTGGTCTTTCTACCCCATGTGACTGGAACTTCAGCAAGGCCAAGGATGGGGCCTGTTTGCTCTCGCAGTGCCTGGCACAGAGCAGAAAGACTATTATCACTCAGTCACAGACATTCTACGCAGCTGGCTGCCTTTGCAGCCCTCTGTCCTATGATCGGAGCCATGGTGGCGCAGTGGTTAAGAGTTTAGCTAACCAAAAGGTAGACAGTTAGAATCCACCAGCTGTTCCTTGGAAACCCTATGGGGCAGTTCTGCTCTGTCCTATAGGGTCACTATGAGTTGGAATCCCCTCGCCCTCACCTGCTCCCCAGCATCACCTGTAGACTGACTGACCCCCTGACATCAGGCTGCCTTGTCTCTTCTGCAGGTGCAATCTACCCCCCATCTCGGAGAAGTACACCATGGATGTGGGAGTAAAGACGGATGTGGTCACTGTGAACCCCAGCATCATCACAGAGAGGTTAGTAGCCCTCTTTCCAGAGCTGTGCCATCCAATAGGGTAGCCAATAGTGAAGTGTGGCTACTGACCACTTGAAATGTGGCTGGTACAGACCAAGATGTGCTGTCTGTAAAATGCACACCAGATTTCAGAGACTTCATACAAAAAAAAAAAAAGGATGCCATATATCTCATTAATCTTTTATTATTGATTACATGTTGAAAATAGTATTTTGAATATATCAGGTTAAATAAAATATAAAAATGATACCTGTTTCTATTCATTTAAATAGAAATATTGCATATTATTTAAATATTTATTTAATATGTTGTTGGTTGCCGTGGAGTCGATTCTGACTCCCGGTGAACCCACATGTGCAGAGAAGAACTGTGCTCCCTAGGGTTTTCAAGGCTGTGACCTTTCAGGAGCAGATTGCCAGGCCTGTCTTCTGAGGTGCCTTTGGGTGGGTTTAAACCTTTCATTTAGTAGTGAAGTGCTTAACCATTTGCACCACCCAGGGAACCTATGATATATATAAGGAAATATTTATTGAATATTATTTAAATAGAAACAGTGGTTACTAGCACATCAAAAATTACATATGTAGCCTGCAGTGTATTTCTTTTGGAGAGCGCTGGACTAGACTGTTTTCACCTAGAGTTGGGTCAGAGAATTTACCAGTGTGTGACCAGGGGTACAGCAGCCCGCTATATGGGGTGTATTCAGGTGGCATTAGGCAGAAGCCTTGTGCAAAGATCCTGCCCCCCGCCCCCCCCCCCCGCCCCCATCCTGGCTCCCCTCCTGGGGTCTTTGAGGCTTAGGGGGAGGGGCCTAATGTGTTACCTGGCCAGATGAAGGTAAGAGGAAGGGATGCTAGGAGTTGTTAAATTGGATCAGATGCTCAGGGAACACCTATTTAAGAAGTGGGAGGGAAGCAGTCAGCAAAGTCACGTGTGAAGGGGCACAGAGAGAGGTCTGAGGTGGGCCAGGGGCACAGGGCTGTAGGAGCAGGGAGGGCTGCTGAATGTAAAGAAAGGCTGTGAGATGCACCTGGAGGCTGGGGGCGGGAAGGGCTGAGACAGGAGGGCAGCTGCGTTTGTTGTGTGCCACGGGATCTTGGGGAAGACAGTACAGGTGAATGGTGTGGGAGCTCCAGGGAAAGCCTTTCTCCTCCAACCACTTCTCCACTGAGCGACGCCTGCAGCCACACACTGGACATTTGGGTTCTGACTGTCCTCGCAATACCTACTTACAAAATATAACTCTCCCTGAGAAAGGCCAGGTATTTACATGATAAGGTGAATGAGGTGAGAGGAGGCAGGAGTGGGGTCCCCCCCCCCCGTGTCCTTTGAAAAGACCCCAGGGTGCCGGGCTGGGGGAAGCCTGGTGCTCTGGGGCATGGAGGGGTGGGCGGCTGACCCCTCACGCTGTCTTCCTCCTCAGGTTCCACAAGCTGGAGAAATGGCGGCGGCCCTTCTACCGAGTGCTGCAAGTATACGAGAACGCGTCAGTGCTGCTGCCCGCCTTCTACAACACGCGCAACACCGACGTGTCCATCCGCGTCAAGTACGTGCTGGACGACTTCGAGTCGCCGCAGGCTGTCTACTACTTCCACCCTCAGTACTTGGTCAACGTGTCGCGCTACTGGCTCAGCCTGGGCGTGCGCGCCAAGCGCATTAGCACCGGCCTCATCCTGGCCACCGCGGCGCTCGAGCTCTGTGAGGAAGTGCACCTCTTCGGTTTCTGGGCCTTCCCCATGAACCCCTCGGGCCTCTACATCACCCACCACTACTACGACAACGTCAAGCCCCGGCCCGGCTTCCACGCCATGCCCTCCGAGATCTTCAACTTCTTGCACCTGCACAGCCGCGGCATCCTCCGCGTCCACACGGGCACCTGCAGCTGCTGCTGATGGCGGCGCCGCCAGGCTGCTTGGGCTACACCCCCGGCCACCAGAACCTTCTCTTCTTCTCTTCCTCCTGGTGGAACTGGGAGCTGGAGGCCAGGCAGCGCGGGGCCTGGCCTTGAGGGAGCCCCTCCCTCAATAGTTCAGCTTTGTGCTTGGGTCCCATGGGGCTCGGAGGCAAGGGTGGGAGCTGGGGCAGAGGCAGCTTGGTCTGAGCTTCCTGGGCCTCCATCCACGGGGAGCATGCTGCTAGGCCACACTCCAAGATCAGGGGGCCCTCAGGGGCTGCAAGTGAATAAAGCACATTTCCACTCAATTTTAGCAATCGAGAGAGCACAACTGTAGCGGCCTTGTCACTGCTAAAGGAAGGCCCTACAAAGAGTGGAAGAGAAGGAGACAGGACTTATGAGAACAGTCAGGATAGAATTCAGACTTGTGGGTTCCTGAGTTTTATACAGAGGGATCAGCCATGTATTGCTGTCCAGAATCTCACAGCTTCCTGGCTAACCCAGCAGCCAGAACTTCCTGTAAAGAAAGAGTCGCTCAGAGAGGTCCAGGGACCTACCAGCCAATGTCACGCCAACAGACTGAGCTCATTAAGTGATGCTGTGGCAGATAATGCGAGGCTGTGTTAGGATCGTCCGCTAAGAAACCATCCGCCCTTGCAGACGCTTCCTCGGACACAGTCTTGGTGCCTCCAGGTCAAATCCTGCATTTGATCTTTTGATGAGAAGGAAATAAACCAGACCAGCTATTTGCACTGAGTTTCCGAGCCAATGTTATCGACTCAATAGTGCTCAGCAATTTGCTTCCTCTTCTGCCTCCTTACTTTTAGCTCTGTTTTAACCAGGAGTTATTTGTAAGATTTGTTTCTCTTTATGTTCCTGAACACAGCAGACTCCTGCTATATCATGTTCCGGCTCCGGGCTGGAAAGCGCCGGCATATGACATGGGGAGCGTAGCGGTGGGAGTGAGCCCTGGCCTCCGACACCAGCATCACAGGACCTTCCACTGTAAAGGAGGGACTTCCTGTCGCACAGCCTGGTGGCCTCACACACATGGACTCACAGGGCCTGAGCTTCCGTGCCTAGGCCGGAAAGGGTTAACGTGGCATTTTACATCCGAAATTCATTCCGTTTGCTTCCCCTGTGGTGTTTTCCACCATTAATGCAACTGTGCCTAGGAGACAGTTGGTGAATTGTCTTAGAACTTGGCTTTGTGGAATCATTGAATGTTAGTGCTGGAAGTCTTCAGCCAACCTACCTTCCTTTCTTCCTCCTTTCCTCCTTCCCTTCCTTTCTTCCTACCTCCCTCCCTCCACCCCCGCCCCCAATCCTTCCATCCACCCCTTAAACATTTCCAAAAAGCTTATTCTGTGATGGTCTGAGTTGGGCTCAGGATGATGTGATGACAAAGGTATTATCCCTGTCTTCTAGAGGTGAAGGTGGACCATAGACAAATCCCCGTCCCATGTGCTGAGTGCTCTGGAAGATGATTAGGATCTGTGCAGGCACAGCAGGGGCGGAGATGTTTATCTGGTCGCCTCATTTTACAGGTAAAGCAACAACAGACCCAGCCAGTAAGACAGGAGAGCACAGACTCCGTCCCGGCTCCAGTTCCAGGCTCCCATCCAGGTCTCCTTTTCTTGGCAAAGTCGCTTCATCTTGGCTTGTGTTTCATGTGGGCGGTCATTAGGGGGCGCATGTTCCATGCACAGCACTATTCTAGGTGCTTATCTTCCGCGTGCCTTCTGAGCTCTGGCCCTATGGCTTATATGGCCTTGTGGGACCCTCTCTGGCTGCTCAGAACCTCAGTCTGCTTGTCTGTAAAGCAGGGCTAGGATTGTGTGTCCTGCTTGCCTCACAGAGAGTAAGGAAGTGGATAGTGGAGCAAAGTAGGCCCAAGCCCTTCATAAATGGGACACAAGGACAGAGGATGGCTATGATTTCTTGGAATCTGCCTATTTCTCTCAAGGAAGGAGCTTCTGGGAAAGGGTCTAGTTAACTGAGCTTCCCAGCCACTTGTTTGTGATTAATTTAGCCCAGTTCTTGAAACCATGGAATGTTGGAGCTAGAAGGCTCTTAAATACCATTTTGGCCCACTAGGAAACAGGCTCAGGGAGGGCAAGTGACCTGGGTCAAGTCATGCCTCAGGCACCTTCTGAGTGTTGGCTATGGACAGGAATCTTCTACTTGGAGGCCCCTAGGTAATATTTATGTGTCAGATAGGTCAGTCAGACATCTGGTCCCCACAGCAGAGGATGTTGGGGGTTGGTATCTGCCACAGCCAAGGCCCTCCTCGGAGCTGAGGATGGAGCATGGGGATCCACCCCATGTAGGAGTTGGGGGACCTGGCTTGGGGTCCCATTTCTGCCTGCGGGTCCTGGGGCAGGTACCGTCTCCTCCTTCAGGGTCTCACCTTCCTCCTCTCTACAGCGAGAGGCTTACCAAAGACCTCTAGGGTCCCTACAATTGCTAGGCTTTTTGTTTTGGAGGCATTGATCATGTGTGGCTCTAAGCCATAAATAACAGTATTTATCATCATAACAGCTAAGACTGACCACATTCCCAATCCGTGCCAGGCCTGCGCTGAGCACTTGCCCTGCACATTGCCTGTAATCATCACAAGACCCCTTTGAGGAAAGGAGGTTCCCATCGAACAGGTTTCTCAGTGATTTTGTGACGGGCCCACGGTCAGGCATGGTCCCTACTCTAGGGATAGGTGTTCCAGGAGGCTGTCATGGATCTGGAAGTGGTCTATGCTCATCTGGTGCCCCCTCAATCCTGCCCCTGGCAGCAGCACTGACCGCCCTGCCCCCTGCCGTAGTAGAATGTGTGCTGTCTGGCACTGGAGGGGAACTGAGGCCATTTCCACATTTTGCAGGTAAGGAGAGATGCTCAGAAAGGGGTACATGTGAAGTGACAACATGTGGAGTGACTTGCCCACGGCCACATGGCCAGCTAGTGGCTCACTTGGGACTCACCCAGGCTCCTGACTTTCAGGGCACGCCTCTTCTCCTGCAGCGTGCAGTAAATGGCATGGCCAGTGTTGGTAGGAAAAGCATGCCTCAAAGGTTCAGAGAGACCTGGTCATTGACTCCGGAAGCCTCTGCTGCATTCCTCGCACCCCAGTAACCATCCCATTGTGCAGCGTAAACTACTGATTCAGTTCTGATTTAAGGGGAATCAATTCCCCACAAACAAAATAACCATCATGTCTTTGTGCTAAACCACTGTGTTCAGGGTTGAAAAGCAGTGAAAGCAAGTAAATGACTCAGTGCTTAGCCAAGCAAAAAGGAAGGTGGCTCAAGGTCAGATGCAGCCTCTGGGACTGGTTCAGCGAGTTCAACAGCGCTGGCACTGGCAACTCTGCAGGCTCATCACCTAGTGCTGCAGACAGCACTCAGGCTGGACTTCGCTGAGGGTGGGGAGGAAGCAGGGCAGCACTTTCTGACAGTGAAGGGAGAGCAGAGTGCTGGCTTTAGCCAGTCACTCAACAAACATTTATCAGGTGCTCATTTTGTGCCAGGCATTGTGCTAGATGCCACGGAGCTGTTGATAGTTGCCCTCGAGTTGATTCTGCTCATTTTGTGCCAGGCATTGAGCTAGGCCCCACGGAGCTGGTGATCGTTGCCCTTGAGTTGATTCCAGCTCATGACCACCTCATGTGTGCAGAGTAGAACTGCTCCATAGGGTTTTCTTGGCTGTAATCTTTATGGAAGCAGATTGCCAGGCCTTTCTTCTGCAGTGCTTCTAGGTGGGTTCGAACAACCAATGTTTAGGTTAGCAGTAAAGTGTAAACTGTTTGCATCATCTAGGGACTTAGTGATGAGCAAAACATAGTCCCTGCCCTCAAGGAGCTTACTGTCTGTACAGATGTGAAACACACAATCCCACAAACACACATAAGAGCTGTGCTGAGTGCTGTGAAGTCCAGGTTCAGGGATAGTTATCCGGGAGAGAGGAAGACAGGGTGGCAGACATCAATTCTGGATTCTGAAGGTTGGCAGGATGAAGATCTTAATTGCCAAAGCAGTGGATACTTCTCAGGTCTCATACTTAACATTCATGTAACACTTGACAGGGTGGCCTCTCTGGTCTTTTTGGAATTCTCTTCTTTTTTGATTCTCAGCACTGACTTTCTTCCTGTCTCTGAATGCTCCTTCCCGGTTGCCTTTGTCGATTCATCTTCCGTAAAGCTTCCGCAGGGTTTTCCCTTACTGTGAGCATTCCTGCAGAAGTCACATCTATTTGCAGCCTCAAGTTTCTCCTGTCCTTGCATCTTAAACCTCTTACCCGCAGGCCAGTTCTCCCTCTGAGCATTGGAAGCACACTCACCACGGCCTCCTGAATGTCTCTACCTGCACGGCATTTCAAACTTCACTGTGTCCGCAACTGGTTAGTTAACAGAAGAATCTGGATTCAAATCTGCTCCACTACTTACTAGCTGTGTGACTTTAGGGGAGCTTCCAAACCCCCTCGAGGCTCTGATTCATCATCTGAGAAATAAGGACAGGACCCTAACCTCACTGGCTGTTGCAAAGTTTAAGTAAAACAGTGTTGCACAATGACTAGCACAGTCCCAGCACAAACTAGACAATAAGTGCAGGGTCCCTCTGCCTTTTCTCTTCCCTAGTCTTTCCTCTGATGAGTGGCTTCACCACACCACTGGCCACTCCGCCTAAAACCTCAGTCCCCCAGAACTCTTTCTTCTCCTTCACCCTGTATGTCTATTTGTTCACCAACTCTTGTCAATTCATACGCAAATATCCCTTGAATTCATCCCCTCTGCTACTGTCCTAACTCAGTCCTTTCTGATTGATCTCCCTGCTTCAGAGAATTACCTTCTGAAAACACCTTTGGTGGTGCTCTTCGCCTATCCTTACCATAAAGTCCAGGTTCCTTACCAGGTCATGCAGAGCATGTCCCAAGGTGACTCACTCGCTTTCCCAGAGGCCTTCCTGCCACCTCCCTGCCCCCTCTCCATACTCCTCCAGGCGCTGTGCCTGGGCACAAGCTGTTGGAAATGCCTGGACCACCACACACTCCCCCTCCTTCTCTCTTCTGCTTCTCCCCACTGCTTTTGCAGATGGCCCTTGGGTTCTCCCCTTGAACTTGGGCTGGGAACTCTCTCTTCTGTGCTTCTGCAGCAACTATCACCAACCTCTGCTAGGACACCCTTATAGCAGGTGGCATGGATGTCACTGTGTCCTTGGCCAAGGGTTGTCTTTTCCCCAAGGGATGGCATTGTATCTGGCTCATCTTTGTGCCCCAGCATGGGCACAGGGCCGCATGTGGTCAGAACTCAACATGGTTTTAGTTCCAGAATGATGTCTTTGGTTAACCTAGTGGGCTCCCACAGTTCAGGAGACCCCAT